TGCTAACACTTGATGAAGCAAAACGACAGTTAATATTTCAGATTATTGAATATCACAGAAAGCTCATGACCATTCCATTAGAGAAAACCTTTAAAGCAGAATAGCAAGTGATCATTCATTACTGTTGCAAAAAAATTAATTACACATTATATAACATACTTAAACATGTTGTAAATGGCAAATGCCATCCAATACTTTCGAAGGGCTACTGGAAATAGTGTTTTGATGCAATTGTGTTGGTAAATACCACCCAATACTTTCGAAGGGCTACTGGAAAAAGTGTTTTGTTGCAAATGAGTGACCCAGCCGGGTGACTATTTAAATTGGTTTTTTAACATACTACTAAATTTAAATTACTCATAAGTTAAATTATTTTTTTTTTGCCACAGTTTGCATTTCTACATTTAGTAACGTTTTTGTCGCTAAAGGTAAATTTGTTCTTTTGTTTTCAAAAGACTATTACTTTTTATCAACGATATAGCTTTTGATAATTACTTTTTAAACTAACATAACAACAAAGAAACATTTTTAAAGTCTGATTGTTGAAGTTTATTGTCCTTCTTTTTTATTAACTTGTGTCATTCTGTTTAAATTAGAACGACAGTTTTCAATTTTTATAAAGAACAAATGAAAGTTTTAAAGTCATAACTGCTAATAATTAGCAAACGTTTTTACGAAATTAAATTATAAAAGTTTCTTATGTTAAAATGTTTATTCATCAAATGCTTTTAATTGAATAATAAACTTTTTTTATTTAATTTCGTTAACACGTTTATTAAAAAGTTTTGTTTAAATAATATTAATAAAAGTTTTAATACACAAATTAAGTTTTCTTAAAAGCTCTATAATAGTAAACATTTCATTGTTATATTATTAAAATTAACTTAAATATAATGATGCATTTTTAAAGAGAAAGAGATGCAACTTTACGACAATGGGAAAGAGGTTCAAGCTTAGCAGATAGTCCAGGTCCAACAACATTTACAATGCGTTTTTGGACCTTGTCAAGAAGAGAAAGTGAATCGTTAGAAGAACCAGCCCAAATATGACAACAGTATTCCATACAGGGACGAATAAGAGATTTGTAGAGGTAGAGAATGGAATCAGAAGTAAGGAAATGGCAAGCACGATAAAGAGAAGCAACCTTAGCAGAAGCTAATTTAGCAATCGATTGTATATATGCTTTCCATGAAAGGTCATTAGTAAGCGATAATCCAAGAAGATGTAAAGAGGAGGACTCAGTAAGAGGGTTGCTATTCATTAATATAGGAATGTTGATCATATTACGGTAGTTGTAAGCAACTGGGTTTTTTTAGAGTTGAAATTCACAAGCCACTGTGAACCCCAATCTATTACTGAAGTGAGATCAGATTCAAGATCAGCTGCTTCTTCTAGGTGATCGAAAAGAGAAGACTTTTTGTCAAGACAGGAGTATAAAGTTGAGTCATAAGCAAAAAGAGCTACTTTAGATGAAAGGTTGTCAGGAAGATCATTTATGTAGATAAGAAACAAAACAGGGCCCAGGATGGAACCTTGGGGAACCCCAGAAGTTACTGGAAATAAAGAAGAGTGTTGGCCTTCAAGGATGACTTTAATAAACCGGTTAGAAAGAAATGATTTGATAATCTCAAAAACTTTCCCAGAAACACCATATGAAGCAAGCTTATGGAGAAGACCAGCATGCCAAACTTTGTCGAAAGCTTTAGATATGTCGAGAGAAATAGCCCTAGCCTCACCGCCTCCATCTAATGCACGATAAAATCTTTCAGTTACAGCAGTTACTGGCAGTAGTTTATTTGACTCAAGATGAGATGTGAGGAATTTGTTGATCAAAGACTCAAAGACCTTGCTAATAACAGAAAGAAGACTGATTGGACGATAATTGGAGGGGTCAGAATTTTCTCCAGAGTTTTTGAATATTGGAACCACAGATGCCATTTTCCAACAAGCAGGAAAACAAGACTCAGTCAAACACTTGTTAAATAGTTTAGAGAGAATTGAAGAAAGTTCTGGAGAACAATTCTGCAAGACTGTGACAGGAATGTTGTCTGGACCACAAGCTGTAGACGAGTTTAATTGAGATATGACTTTAGCAACAGAAGCCGGAGTGATTTGAATGTCTAACAATGGGTCAACCTGTTTGACTGGAATGGAAGGAAGAGAATGTTTATAAGATTCAAGAGTGGAATTAGAAGAAAAGTTCTTTACAAATAGTTCTGCCTTATCCTTGGGAGAGGTAAAAAGATCAGTCCCAGAGATGGAATGTTAGATCTACCCTTGTTAATAATGCTGTTGAAGATTTTCCAAAAGTCTTTAAAGCCTAACTTCTGCGATAAGATGCGAGATTTAGTGAACTGAGAATGATGGAGTTTAGCATCAGAAAGCACCTTTTTACATTGATTTCTTGCAATAATAAATAGCTGTTTGTTCTCAAGAGAGTTGTTCTTTTGAAAAAGATGAAAAAAATGATTACGATTGGATATAGCAGCCGCACAAGAAGGAGAAAACCATGGAGTAGAATGAGGCTTGACTTGAAACCGACGCGAAGGAATAAAAACTTCCATTCCAGCCTGAATCCAGGAAGTTACGTAGGAGGTGCATTTGTCAGCTGAGAGAGAAAAAACATCAGCCTAAGGACCATTACGAAGAAAATCACGAAAGGAATCCCAGTCAGCTTTAGGGTAGTAGTAGATGGTGCGATGATAAGGTGAGCCCAAAAAAGACATACGAGAAGAAAGATTTACAGAGATCATTGCGTGGTCAGAACCACCTAAGGGAGAAAAGGGAGAAACTGAACATAAGCTAGGGTCAGAGACAAGACATAAGTCAAGGAGTGAAGGTAAATGATTAGGGTTGTCAGGAAAACGAGTCACAAAGTTAACTATCTGAGTAAGAGATTGAGAAACGCAGAAATTAAAGGCTTTAGTGCCAGCAGGATCAGTGGTGTTAGAGCCAAGCCATTCAGTGTGATGGGCATTAAAATCACCAACAACAACAATATTGGCAGAGGGGTAAAGAGAGAGGGCATGGTCAATTTGATCAGAGATAACATCTAAAAGAGTGCAATCATGGGAAGAAGGAGAACGATAAAGAACAAAGAGAAAGGTGATAGAGTGAAGTGCTAGGCGAAAGCACATAAAAGAATGGTCAAAGGATTCGAACCTGATTTCACGACAAATAGGGGAATTAATGCGTATGTATACCCCTAAACCTAGCATGTGACTATTTGAGTCTTTACGAATCAAAGGATAGTACCCATCAACACTGACATCTGAAGAAGGAACTGCAGAACTTAAATTTGTTTCTTTGAGTGCAAGCAAGTCGGGTGAATTTTGCAGGAGGTAAGACTCAACTGATGGAAAGTTGCTTCGTAGACTGCCAATATTTGTAAAAGAATTAGATAAAGTTGTATGCTCATTTAACAAAAAGGGTTCTATTCTCATTTAAAATAAACAGAAAGGGTTCTATGCTCATTTTAAAAAAAACTAGACAAGGTTCTATGTTCATTAAAAAAAAAATGGAACAACTTTGTTTTTTACTTGTAAAAAACGCAGTTGTCATTTATTTAAAGCTCATTTATTTAAAGCTAACCAAAAATAAATCTTAGATCACATAACCAACTTATATTCTTAAAATTATAGCAGATCTAAGCAACCCTACAGTCACAGAAAAACCTAAAAAAAAAGAGTCAAAGGGAGGAAAATAGAGTTTGCTTATGATCTAGGATTAATAAATGTTACAGGAATACCATATAGTTGTGTTAATCTAAAGTATTTTGAAGTTACAACAGATAATAGAATAAAGTCAATATAATAAAAAAACATATTATATTTGGTATTTCCTAATTTTTATGTTGTATTTGGTAAGCATTTCACATTAAAACCTGTTTCTTAACATTACAAATCAAAAACTACCAAAATCAACAATTACAAGTTTTCCATTAAACGATTTTAATTTAAAAACTGACTCAATAATGCAACACTTTTTTGCAATTTTTGGCAATAATCATTCAATTTTAAAAATAAAGTTAAAAAAGCAATTTTTTTTTTTTACAAAATAAATTTCATTAAATATATTCTCACTTGACTAAGAATTTCGAGAATTTTTGTACTTAATGAAAAGTTTAGAAAACAAATGTTGTTAAATTAAACTTTTATATGATTAAATAATAAAAAAACTTTTTTAACAGAAGGTTGATAAGGATAATTATCATTTAATAACTAATTACGAAAAGCATTTAATTAATTAATATATAGCAATGCACAAGCTTAAAATATCGGAAATATTTTATTCATATTTTTAATGCAAATTTGGCAAAAATTAGAAAATAAAATAACTAAACAAATGCCTTACTAATTTATTATTAAAAAAAAAATTCTATGCAATAAGTAACTAAACTAATTCTTTTGTAATCCATGATAAAAAAACATTTCTATATTTGTTATCATAATTCTACGTTGACATCATATACTAAAACTTTGGAATTGAACCTGTTTAAAAAATTATAAAGTCTGCTGATTGCAGCATATGTTTTAAAGACTTAAAATCACGCTTGAATGGAGGAGGCGAGATGTGACTAAAACTACAACATTAGTTATTTTGGTAAACGTTTTGTATTTTGTTTTAAAAAAAAAAAATTCACCCCAAACATTTTATTTTAAACATTCTCTTTAAACACAACTTGTATCAGCACTTGTATCAACATCCCTTTAAATATGAAGCAACATCTTGTTTCTACAGCATCGTTGTTAAAATATTTGTGATACTTGCGTTAAAATGTTTGTGTTATCTTCGAAACTTGTTTTTAATATTTTTGTCAATATCAGAAATTTATTATATAAATTTTCTACTAAATGATATTTGGCATTTCTTTTTACTAAATGATATTTGGTATTTGCTAATAATAGAAAGAAGATTGAATGGACAATAGTATTAAAGAGAGTTTAACATCTAAGCTACTCATTTTTATTTTAGTTGAAAATTTTAATTGAATAAGTCACCTGGTAGAAACAACATTGGATCAAAAACCTTGGGTTGTGAAACTTTAGGAATCAACCAAGTGATTACACAATATTTTTCACAGTAACTATCTTGAAGAAAACCTCGAAGTTGAGCAAAAAAAATTCCACCTTCTAGATCATAAGTTGAAACAATATCTCCAACATGATATAGCAATCCCTAAACAAGTAAAATAGAAAAGTATAATATAATTTTTTAACATTGTTTGTACTCAACAAATCCCTCTATATAGTCAAGAGTCATTATAATTTATTTTATTTATATTTTATCTTCAGTATCGTCTTCCATATTCCTAAAGCACAGTAAAATTGAAACCCACTGCTGCCAGTATCTAAAAAATACATTCAATAAGATGTTGTAAACTCTAACTCTATATCAGTTGTTTCTTGAGTTTTATTTACAGATTCACTAATGTTTGGTTTTATATCAGTAAGATTGTTTAATATAACAGAAGATATTTCAGTGAGTGCACTATTATATTGCTGGAGTGTAAAGCTAGTAGATTTTCACTCAACAACTCATAATACTCATAGCAAAATAAATCACTATTGACTTTAAATTTTTCAAACATTGGATTTATTTTTTTCCAAACATGTTCAGCATTCTCTATTGATAAATAAAATTTCATGACAGATACATATTACATTTCCAATAAACTTTTAATGAAAATATGCATTTCAGTTTTTCTTTTTCTAATCAATCTAGAAGAATAATTGTCAAAATTTTTAAAAAGTTTTTTAAGAATTCTTTATGCTTTGTCTTGTTTTACACTGATTTTACATGTTGTTTGACATAATTTTTAACTGCAATAGCAAAAGGAATCTATATCATAACTAAGTTAATGTCTTTGTTTAAAAATCCTTCTTTAACCATATCAAACAAACAGTCTAAATCAATATTTACAATAATAAGTTTGCTATTTTTTATAAATTAGAGGCTGGTCTAGTCACTTCGCATTTTTTATGTTAAAATTAAAAAACAATAGCAAAGGTCAGTGTTTCCAGACTATGTATTCTTATGACTATGGTAACAGTGACAAAACTAGGACTTAACGGGATTAAATATGTAACTTCCAGGTATCTGTAAGCTTTAGTTAGTACTGTTATTAAATAATGTTTTAAAAATAAACTTTAATTCTGTGAACAATTATTAGGTTGCCAAATTAAAATAGATTTTTTATATATATTTTAAACTGAATCAAAATTTATCAAAAGATTTTAAATTTCATCAAAAAATTTTTTGGTCTTTCAAACATTTCAAATAAACAAAAAATTTAGTCTTTATTACTACACTCAAACGTTCAAGGACTACTTTTTTTTTTTTTTTTTTTTTGTACAATGTTTGTATAATTCTTTCATTGAATATAAAATGCAATCCTTTAACTTTTTTAATTCTTTTAGTGTTAAATGACAATACTTTGTTAAATATTATTGTGATTTAAGTGAGAGAACAAAAAAACTTTATAAATAACTTTTTTATATCAAAGGTTGGGAAGTTTAAATTTTCTTTGAATATAGAAATCTAAACTATAGACGAGAGGAAAATAAATAAATTTCATAAAAATTCATAAATTGTTTAAAAGTTTTAAAAGCTATGGTTTAAAAGCTTTAACTTTAACATAAAATGTTTGTATGCAATATATAAAATATATGAACCCATTTAAAATATTTCAATAGAAAATATGTATAAATAAATCGCTTACATCATGATAAATAGCATTTGAAGTGATAATTGAGCCACAAAAATCAACACTTTTAGATGGTTTTTGCTTAAATAAACTGCGACGATTTTTTGAAGTTCCGTTTTTTAAAAGAGAAACAAATCCATTGCCAAACTTTTTTTTGGCTTTGTTTTTACGACTTGATATTCTAACAGCTGGAAGTTCTTTGCCTTTATTTATAGAATTTTTTCCATGAACAGAATTTGAACATTTCATTCTTTTAAGATGACAAAAATTACATACTAAATTATCCTCATTCAAGCGCCGCCACATTGTACAATGATTCACACCACAATCAGCACATTGCAACTTTGAAGTTTTGTGATCTGATATCATATAACTTTGACTTAAAGATTTTTCACACATTTCCTGTTTATTTTGACAATGCTCTGCAACATCAAGAAGTTGAAATTTATAATTTTCATCACTTAGGAGTTTAGACTCATCTTCATATTCATTTTCAGGAATACTGGAAGTGCTATCAGAATCCATTATTTTAGTTAATTTAAAAACATTTTATTATTCTTAAATAAAGAAAACTGTATATATATATATATATATATATATATATATATATATATATATATATATATATATATATATATATATATATATATATATATATATATATATATATATATATATATATATATATATATGTATATATATATATATATATATATATATATATATATATATATATATATATATATATATATATATATATATATATATACATTAACTAAATTTTATGCTTTTAATTAGGGAAGCAATTAGTGGATTTCTTTTAATTACCTGCTGATTAAATTTTTTAATTTTAATTGGTACTTTCACTAATAAATATATATAAAAAATTAACAACGCATCTGTTAAAGTTTTTTTCTAAATTGCTTACACAAAAAATTAATTTGGATAAATTTTTAATCATCCAAATTTTATTTATAATTTAAAAAAAATAAAAACCAATTCAACTTAAATTAAATCAGGTATAATGACAAAATTTTCAATTTTTCCTTGTTTTATAAATAGATTTTGCTCTCTTAAAAAAATATGGCTATAATTAAAAGTAATATGATTTGCTGCTGAAAGTCATAATATTGTTGTTTTTTTTATACTGATAATGGAAATACTCTTACTAAGTCTCTACTTTACGCCTTCTAAGATTATAATTCACTACAATTTGAAGACTAGTTGCAATACAAAAACAAGCTTTTTATATTCAGTTTTATGGAATGATTTATTTTAGGTTTAAAAATAATACTATTTATAAATAAAAATAGGAGAAGAGAGAAAGAAGGCCAAAGAATGAGAGGAAGCAACTTATGTTAAAAACATATTTTGTATGACTATTGTCATGCTTGACTCAGCAACAGAATAGAAAAGTCCAAATTAAAACATTGCCAAAAGAAAATAGAACATTTACCATATTAGCATTTTTGTTGATTTGTATCTATGCAGACTTGCATAATGTTCTTGGAGTTGTTAACAAGGCTATATAGATACTAATCAACATATTAAATAGATCTAGTTAATGTTGATTTGAATCATTAGACTTGCATTATGTTCTGTGGAATTAATAACTCTACTGCATGGCAAATATTAGTATTTGAAACATACCTTAAAACTACTACCATGAAACTTTTAGTAACAAAACTGATAAAATGAACAAAATCTTATTGCCTTCTTTAGTCTATTGTTTGGTCAGATTAAAAGAGTTTTAATGATCAACCAGTATTTTTTTTTTTGAAAAAAAATTCAGAAAGATATAACTTTTAAGTATACTTAAGTATTGGCACTAAGAATAGCAACAATGATCATTTTAATAGGCTTTTCCACTCTAAAATAAACAATGAACTTTAAAATTAATAAACAAAATTACAACATACTTTGTAGCCATTATATAAATACAAATCAAACTAAAAAAATATTTTTCATGTATCTTTATCAGAGATAACTTTATTAAAGTTTATTAAAAGTTTTCAGAAAATTATTAAAAGCCATATTTCTTAGAGGTTAATTAAAAAACCCTCTCTAACACATGTAAGGGTAAGATGGTTTATTAAAAACATTCTTAGCCTCAATAGTCAGTGATCAAAAAAAAGTTTGTTAGAGCTAAAAAAAATTTTAAAAAGACTAGTTTTTTTTTTAAATCTGGAAATCTTATGTGTCATAAAATGTAGATTCCAGTGGTTCGTACTTTTTGTTACATATTTAGTATTTTTGTTACATTTTCAGCAGTATTGGTTCAGAATGACTTAACTTTGAGGATACATCTAGCACATTTAGTAGCTGTTTTAAAAAGACCTGTAAACAATCATTTTTAGGTTTTTTTCAAATTAAAATTTCATAGTTTGTTGATTTACACTCACAGCATAACTTGCAGTTTAGTGAGTTTAACATCATCAACTTTGATCACAATTTTGAATAAAAACATACATTATATCTAAGATGACAAAGTTTTTGATAAAACTGACTCAATTTGTCATTGTTAATTGTTGAGCAATATTATCTATATTTTTATACTACTATTATTCTATATGGTTTTTTCTCAATAGAGGAGCTAAAATTAAAAATAAAAAAGCAACAGGGCAGCCATTATTATTAAACACTGCAGCTACAGCCAGAGTTGTTAACAAGACCAAAAGTAGCAAGGCCGCACATTGTACATTACAAAGCCAAGGCTAGAAGTTACAAAGCCAAAGACAAAGCCAAGAGTTTTAAGGTCAAGGCCAAGAATGATTCTCAAACCAAGGCCTCTCAAACATTTTCAATACTAAAGACTTAAACTTTTGCCTAAGGTTAAGGCTAATTATTAACAAATCTGTAGGTAACAATTACTGAGACAATAAAACCACATGTTATAAAAATAAACCTAGGTTTTGTGCAGAATTCAACGAAGTCAATATACTATAAGAAAATATAGTTGAAGATATATATGTAGGCCGAAAACAAAAACATATATAAATAAAGAATGGAAACTTTTTAAAAATAATTCTTTAATTTTATGTACTTTTTTTTTTTTTTTTTTGAAGGTTAAGGCCAAAATTTTCAAGGCCAAGGCCTACATTTTCAAGGACACAACTGAGGCCAAGATCTTAAGGCAAGTCTGAGGTCAAGGCCAAGGCCAATTACCAACAACTCTGGCTACAGCCAACTGATCTTTTTTATAATATTAGCAAGATTTTCAAGCTAAATTGTTAAATAAGATATGTAGAGATAAACTTTGACAAATCACAAATTAAATAGATCATTCTCCTTTTAACTTGAGGGTTATATATTTATGAAATTATTTGTATGCTCCTTTTTATTGAAATATTAAAAAATTAAAATTTTAAAAAAGATTGTGATTTCAAAGGTTTTAGTTATTGCAGCTACTGCAAGTTCTAATATATTATTAATTAATCTAAAGTAATATTAATTTTCTGCATTTTTCTGTGCAGACTTCAAATGTTTAGCTTAGAAAACACTCATTCTGATATATTGTAAGAATTCATCAGGTTGTGACTTTAGAAGTCACAACCTGATGGCTTGTAAATCTATTCCTGTTATAAATCCATCACTAATATACTCAGATGTCTGTTTAAAGTTACGCTTTTTGCTAAAACTTGAAAAACTTTTAGGTCAAAGTTTTTTCCTTCCCCCTTCTAGTAGATCTTTAGTTTTTTGCTAGACATCCACCTGTTTTTGATTCTGACATTAAATCTGCCTTGGCTATTTTAATCAGAATCAATGACAAAGTATTTCAAAAGATTTTTTAAGAGTAAGTTTTAACTTTGTTTATGTGTTACATTTTTAATTAACTTTGTTTTAATTAACTTTCTTTATTTGTTGTATGGTCATTGTATTGTTTATGTGTTGTATTTTTTTTTTTTTTTTTTTTTTTTTTTTTTTTTTTTTTATAACCTGCAAAACTTTTATATCTGTGCTAGCTTACAAAACAGCAAACTTTATAAAAAAGTTAAAATATTTTAAATCATTAAAAATACTTGCAAACCTTGAAGAGCTGATTTAGGCCAATACATAATCGTCACTAACGAACAGATAAAAAAAGAACATTTTAAAATATAGAAATTCAACTTTTTTTCTCTAGAATACCATAAAATTTGATTGATTTAGCTGATTTAGGCCAATACATAATTGTCACTAACAAACAGATAAAAAAAGAACATTTTAAAATATAGAAATTCAACTTTTTTCTCTAGAATACCATAAAGTTTTAGATTTTCATTGTTATTTTTTTGAGTGAAGGAAAGTGACACATTAAAACATAAGTTAGAAAGAATTTCTGCAAGACTTTTGTAAAACACATAACTGTAATACTTTGATAATCAATAAATACTCTATTTCTCAATAAATGCTCTGATTTAGATACAGGTATATATTTAAATATTTATATAATATTTAAAGCATCATTTAAAAACTAGTGCAACATCAATCAGTGAAACATCAGTTTTATAAACCATTTAAAAAAAATATGATCAGCAAGCAGGTTAAAACATTTTTAAAACTTGTGGCTGATTAATTATGCTACCATAATTTACAAACTATTTAAATACTCATTGCATTTAGTAAACAATCTCTTTAAATCATCAAAACCCGACAAGTTAAGTGCTTCTGGATATTCAACCCATTTAAATGCTTGGTGCTCGTCCGATAACTTTATTTCTGCATTTTTAGCCGTTAATTCTGCTAACCAATAAACAACAGTTTTTGATTTTCCATAAGCTTTATAATTCAAGTGAAATTCCATATCACTATGAACATTAATAAGGTCTTTATGCAATCCAGACTCCTCAAACGTTTCTCGAAAAGCAGTTGTCATGTCATCTTCACCAGGATCTACATGCCCTTTAGGTGGTGTCCAATGAAAACTTCCATATGAAGCTTGTAACAATAAATACTCTACAGATTTTAAACGTCTATATATAATAAAACCTGCTGCTCTTGAAGTCGCCATTTTATTAAAATATAATTATTATAATGACTAAAACTTTTGACCAACTATGGATATGGAGTGCAAAATAACTAACTTTTCTAATCGTTTATGATCTAACGGTATAAGGAGCACCCACAAAGTAAAAATGGATGTAAAATGGATGTACACAGTAAAACCATTGATATAGGATTAACAACCCTCACCCGCGTCCCCCATTGTACGCACCTACACGCACCACTAATCTTTACCCTCCTACCCCAACCATTTCTCCTCACGTAAGCATTAATTTCAGTTTATTCGAACCTTCAAGTGACCAGGGCCATTCCGGGAGGCGTAGGGGTGTCTAGGCCAATGGTAATTAAGAATAAATAGTTATTTTTAATATATCATTGGTCTAGCCCGCCTACGAATTTTATAAGTTGCCAAATTGGACACTAGAGTCTGCAAAATTGGATTTATAGTTGGCTGTCGGCAAATGTCGGAAAACTATTTCTTTTTTTTTTTTATTAGATAAGTTAAAGTAACTTTACATAACTTCACCCATCACTCAATCTCGCCCACCATCTTTAATTGCTTATATGTCAGTTAACTCACACGCTGCATCATCAAAAAGACGTTCTTTTAGAACAGCAAATCAACCTTATCAACATCAAAATAATTTTGACCTCAAATGAATCGCAAATAAAAAAGCCTATAAAATCTCTCTAAAGAAATTTTGTTGGTTTTCGGTCATTTTTTTGCTACTTAATTTGCCCAATTCAAACCAGCTGATGCAAATCTATCGAGTTAATTATTTATTATACATGTTAAATTATAATTTAATTTTGTTCTCCACTGTTTAATTTCTGATTGTAATAACATCTACTGGTTTTTAGATCCATTTAAAACAAACATGACAATTATTTAAAACAACCACGACATTTATTTAAAACATCGCGATGTTTTAATATTTTAATATTGTCACGCCAGTCGTTGTTTTAATATTTTAATATTGTCACGATGCACTGTGGGGTATTTGATTGATTTAGGCGGCCAAAAATATTTAATAACATTTGAATAAAAAAGTTTAACTTTTTTTAGGAAAAGCTGGTAGAGAAGACAAAAAACAAAAAAGAGAAAACAAAAGATTTTTAAAAAATTTACTGATGATAGACTCCCCCCCCCCCCTCCCCACAACTTTTTTTTTTTTTTTCACACTTTTCTATAGCATAAATATAATAAGAACCTATTTTGTATGGTTCTTATCATTATATAAACCTATTATATATAATGGATAACTTTTCTTCCTCTCGGAATCGAAAATCAAAACATCGCGATTTGTGTTATCTTAATGTATTCGGAAGCACTTGCAATTTCTATATAACTCTTATAAAGCTATGGTAAATATTAAAAAAAAATCTTTAAAGCTATTTATATTTTAACACAAAATAACTACTGATAAAAGGATGATGCCGAAAGTTAAATTTCTTCATCAGAAGACATCCCTGATTGCTCTGAAAACATCCCTGATTGCTCTGAAGATTTCTCCTCTGTGTCAACAATATTAGTAAAATTAGAAAGCTCAGCTGGAAGTAGCATCTCCAAGGTTTCTTTTAAGAATGGTTTAGTATTTTTTCTTGGTAATTTTCTCATGCCAGTTAAAATAGTATCTGAGCTAATTAGTAATCAATTAAGAACGTCGAGGTTGCAAGACTCTCTGGAAAATTTTCTAGCATTGTTTTGACGGTAAAGACAAAAATATTTATTTTGTGCTTCAGCTGCTTCTTCAGATAGCTGACCAATAGGAAGCAAAGCATGCTCTATTACAATAAAACCATGAATAAGGATTTTATGCATTGTAGGAGTCATCGGATACCATTGTTATAATTGGACATATAATTCCGCAGTTTTTACAGTATATCTTCTAAATTTTTTGACATCTATTTTATGTTCACTAGATATTCTATACACAATATTTCAGCTGCCAACGCTGGGTCTGAAAAAAATCGTCGGCTAGTGTCGCCATCATTTGAGTTACCAAATCCAGGCTTAGGTACGTCTACAATTAAACCTACTTTTTTTCGTAAATTTGATTGTATTTCTAGTTTTTTTTTTGTTTGACAATTAATTTTTCATTTTCTGATCTCGCTTGCCTATTTTTAATAGGTAATTTATAAGATAGATGCAATAAACTTTCAAATATTCGGTTCCTGGCATGCAAAATTGATAACCCAAACTTCAGTGTATCTGGTTTGACATCTTTTTCAGTAGTCAAGTTATTAAAATTATTTAATGTTGCATCACAAATATAGCATCTTATAGTTGAAGATGTTTTAGTGGCTGCGTTACACACCTTAGCATCAGCCATAGTGAGCATCATATTATGTTTAACTGAAAATAAATTTCCACCCACTGTCAATTTTGTATCATGCAAAGAGATAATTGAATTTTCAATAAGTTTTATCTCTTCATTTGTTATATCATTAGATTCTTTGACAAATCTAATTCTTATAAGGCGACAATAACGTGGCGAAGAAGGAGTTGGATTTTGCCAGATCAATCTGTTGTTTTTAGTACAAGTTAATTGAAGCGGTACAAAAGAACTCTGAAATATACTTGCATCAGAATCGGCGTCATTCAGAAATTTCTGTTTATATTGATTTTGCTGTGATTCGTCACAGCCCCATTTACAATTTAACATTAATGAACTTCTTTCTTTTTCGTTTAAATTTTGTACCACTTCTTCTTAATACATGATCAATCGTGTAACGGTATGGTCCAATAATAAATCTTGTAAACTGACTGCGATACAAGTTTCAGTGACAAAATAAGATTCCTTATTTGGATAACAATCTACTTTTGCTTTTTGCAGGATACTATAGCAAAAATATAATATTTTACAAAAACTTCTAACAATTTCATATTGTCTTCTGGAAAGACCAGCTTCTACAAACATGGCCAGTGCACTTAATACCGATAGCTGTGATTTTTTTTCCTGTAAAACGCTAGAGTATGCTATCTTATACATTTTTGCCCGCTTTGGGGAGTGGATATGGTCCTTTAAAATTTTTGAAACAGTTCTTTTTCCAGTAACACCTAATTCCACCTGAGCAGCACAAATCAATGTTTCTGAACTTGTGGTAGCACGTATGTTTTCTGTTTCCTTCTTTTGCTTCTCTCGCTTAATTATTTAAAATTCTTCGTTGGCCTACCCCCTTGATGCAGTACTGTAGGTATTGCAATAATTCCATCTAGGCAATCACTGTTTTTTTTTTAAAAAATTTTTTTATCCCTCTTTGCTATTGACCATCTTTGTTTTAACTCGTAAGTAAATTGCGATAAAATATGTTTTACTTCTTTTATTTGTTCGTCTGAGTAATTACCTTTTGCTAATACGTAATGTTTTAAGAATAATAATTTCTCATTCATGTTTAATAAAATTTGGCTCTGCATTAGATCTTATAACATTCTTCGGGTCGTTTCCCTGACATCTGACGAACCTATTATAAACTCCATTTAAAATTAAAATATACCTAAACATAAAGTTTAGTGTTTTTTTTATTAAATAAATTATTTTATAGTTTTGATAAAATATATAATACTAATCGGAAACCTTTATTTAAAAAAAGTTAACCATTTACTTTCTTTAAAGCACACAGAGAAAAAAAGAAAAAAAAAAGAGAAAAAAACATTTATAGAGAAACAACAACCCCCTGGTCTTTTCCTATCGTACACTTAAGAACAGGAAGAGTAAATAAACAAATACGGAGAACAAAATGGCAAAAAATGGCAAGTGATTTTTATATATCATTGAAGTCAAAACCTTAGCCTATCTGTTAATAAAAAAACAGTAACCTGGAAATGCTTGGAAGTATTACTAATTACTTATAGTTTGCAGTGAAAATTGTAAAAAACAAGAGAAAGAAAAGAGTTTTTACAAAACCATAAACTTATATTTAATCACAAATAAACTGATCAAAACTTTCCAAATGTATTTACCTTTACCAACTTCATTAGAATTTATCACAAAACACTTTGAAATATATTTTGATTAAACTTTATTTGATGCTAATAAATGCTTAAAAAATAAGCGACCAAAAGAAAACGCGTAGACAATAATTAATGATTAACTTTGTATATATCCTACCGCTTGTTGTTAAAACCATTTGCGGTTACTTAACGTTTTTAATATTCACTAACTATTCAATATTGCTAAAATAACTTTTTTAATTTATTTTGGAAGTTCTAAAAAATTGAGTTTTGGCCGCCTAAATCAATCAAATACCCCACTGTGCGATGCATCGTGACAATATTAAAACAATATGATTTTCAATTAAAACAATCGTGATTTTCAATTAAAACATTTAAGCCATGCGCAATCTCAACTTTCTATATTATTTAAAAAAAAAAAGTTTTATTTACATGTTTTTATTTTTTTTATTCAATTTTTGAAAATTATTTAAAATTTTATTTTATTAAAAATATGTTTATTTTTCAATTATTGTCGAGGTATGTCATCTGACCTAAGACACGCTTCAAAAAAAGCTTTCGCAGTGTGTGTTATAGTTTGATAAGTAAACATTAGAAATAGATAAGCATACAATCTTGTAATTAGTTAATTTCTTTCAGCTGGGGCCGTATTTCTTCTCACGTTGTTCTTAAGATAAACACGGATTTACACGGATTTAAGAATGGTGAATATGGTGGCAAATATTTTATTTGAATGTTCTGAGCCCTCATCTCAACATTATGATGGATTCTACATTATCCATCACCAGGGTGAATTCTTCCTCTATCCCCAAAACTTGCACAACTTCATCAATATATTCTTGAAACAAAACTGTGTTGACTGACACACTGACAGCTTTGCAGTGAATAATATTAAAACCATCGGCGGCCAATATCATCAAAACGTTACGCTGCCTAGGGTAAATGATCGGGTTTGGTGTTACTCCTCTTCTTGTCCATGAACGACTGCGTAACATGTATAAATTAAATGGACTTTCATCAATAAAAACAATATTTCGGTAGAGATTAATAGGCAAGATTAAAGTATACCACTTAACATATTCAATACGAAAATTCTGGTGCAGATTAAACCAGCTGCTAAATAAATTCTCTCCAATTCTACACTGGTTGGTTGTACTTAGCTAATAATCATATAAAAAAGTTAAGTATTTGCCTCTTATGCCGTTTGCCTCAAAAAATGACATTTTTTTTTTAATCAAGCGCGTGAGATCTTTTTTTTTTTGGTCGATTCCACTCTTAGGTATTTTGGTGCAAATTTTTTTCTATATTG